AGGATTGGTGTGTGTGAGTGCCATTATTTTCATAATGATCTGTGGCCATGTTCAGTGCCGCATCTTCCATAACATGGATGGGGACAGCGAGGAGGAAGTTACTGGTGTCAGACATTGTTACACCCCACTCACCTGCAACAGCAAATGCAAATTTATTGCAAGAGAAAAAAACACACAGCGGGGTAACAGGACTTTGTGAACACCCCGTGGAAGTGCAAGGTCTCTGAGCAGAAGGAAGAGAATCCGACGCTAGTCCTTGAGTACTTCCATGTGCCTTTCAACCAACTAACTAAAAGGCCAGCCTCACCGGGCGTCTGTAGATGTATGGACAAGGAGTAAAAGGAAGAAGATTAGAGGAATATCATAAATCTGATTTTTTTTTAAAAACGACAAAAATGTAAATATGAGTTCAGCTTGAAATGGAAAAAAAAAAAACCCCACCCCTTTCCTGTTAAGATTTCAGCAAACAGGTCAGAATTTGTTGAAACTTGCCTTGTTCTGAGTGTTTGGAAATGATCACTGTGGGTTTTGCTGAAGTAAAAAGGAATGCAAATCGTGGAAGAGGGGATCTTTCCAGTGAAAAGAGAAACAAGTTCAAACTGAGTATTGAAAAACAGGGGAGAGATTTGCAAACAGTCCCCAGGCTACGAGTCCAGAGGTTATTGATGTCATACAGCAACTTAAATGTATACAGCGCCCTCCATGTGGGGTAGCGTCCCAGAGCGCTTTACGGTGGCGGAGTCTGACCCCGAGCCAGGGGGAGAGGGAGGGGGGAGGTGACCCTAAGTACGATCAAAAAGGAAGGTCTTTAGGCTGGATTTGAAGGTGGGGGGAGAGGGGGCGAGGTGGTAGTAACATACACTTTACTATTATGAATTATTAGTTACCCACTTGTGCCATTTACCTATTAGACAACCAATTATAAAATAAATCTACGACTCCGCAAAACAGGAGGAATCTTGCATAAACAAATCTTATATTCTGAATATTTGTGCCTTAAAATATTACATTTGTAGTGAGCTGAGACAGAGCCCGAAGGGAGCAGCTTAGTGCCTGGAATCGGAATAACGGTTGTTAAATAAAGATGATCTCGATGGAAAAATAAAGTCTGATTTCAGTCATCCTTTCAACAACCGAGAGAGAACCAAGCATGTGTTTTGCATTTGCTCAGTTAGTTCTTAAAGAAGGTTACATACAGCGTAATGTAACATGAAAAGGCTCTCTTGTGCCGGCTTTTGTCAATGGCGCTTGTTCCCTTTTCACGTACAAGTAAATGCTGCATTTGTTAAAGTGCGGATGATACCGCACTCACTGGGTGATGAAAGAGTGCTCAGGGTAGACAGTAGTAAGGATGACATTCTGTGCCGATCATTCCCATCTTGACCTCAGTGGTGCACAAATGTGATTTTGTTGTTGTTGATCAGAAGTACCCACTGTTTATGATTAGTGCAATTTTCCACACTGTCTCTCGTAGGTACCTTTGAGTGAAGTTGCCCAATAAGTTTAAAATTACTAATGCTTCATATCGAGCAGTAAACTTATGGAACAGGCTCCCTCGGGAGACAGTGGAAGCAGAAAATTGTCATCGGTTTCAAGAACAAATTAGATAGATTTCTGCTGGAAAATAATATCTCAGGATAGATACAGTGTATAGTTTGGGACACGACATATCAAGCGATTGCCAAGATCGTGGAAGACGAATTAGATGGACCTTGGTCTTCTTCAGCCAAGAAAATTCTTATTTTCTTATGTTTCTGGGGTCAAGGAAACTCGGGAAGAGTGAAGGTGTTAGTGTTCCTGGGTTTGAGGCAAGAAGATTGGAAAGAGAAGCAACAAGTTCCTTAAAGTCCATTGAAGTATTCTCTTTAAAACTGCTTCTGATTGTAAATGATTAATACTCCTGGTACTTTATATTTATAATCCTGCCGCTGTTTTTTCTGATATACTCTCCAGATCTCTAGTGCCGTCCGTACACTATCAACATGACTTCATGTTGGGCCTAAAACAACAATCCATTGGAAGTTAAATTTTTAATTGTGAATTCAACTCATGTTAACGCTCCACAATCAAATACAAATAAATCTGATCCACAGTTCTCACGGCAGTCAAATGGGGCATGAGCAACATTAAAGCTGAGGTAGTTGATGGGAAGCCTGTATTATTATGTCTGCTCCAGTGTCGGAGACTGAGTGACTCATACCTGTCATGTCATTGTTGTCTGGCACGTCGGTAATGAATTAGTCTCCGCACAATATGCGGGTGTGTTGGGAGTGAAAACACCATCGTGATATCTCTTGTCTCCTGTCTGATCAATCACATTTGCCACTATAATTCCAGTTATCTGGTGATCAGCTACTTTGCAACGGGAAATTACGTAGGGGTTTCTTGACATGATTGTTCAGCAGCCTGGAGAGCATGATCAGGCCATCGCTGATCGTAAAATAATACAATGCAGTACACGGAAGTCCTGTAGCTCCTGTAGAGCGCTCACTTTGCAAGCGAGAGACCTGGGTTTGATTCCTGGCAGGACAAAACTTTCTTCACTCCACACGCCTGACAATAATCCCTCAAGAAAAAAAAGTAATAATAATAATTTGGTCATCAGTCCATGACTGTTTGTGGGACGCTGCTGTGCGCAATTGGCTGCCGTGTTTTGCCCACAAATATACAATCAATTCACTTTACAGTACATCCTGTGAAGCGCTTTGAGACGTCTCGAAGACGTGATGAGGCGCTGTATCAAACACAAGGATTATTATATTATAAAATTACATTTGTAATTTTTCACGTCGGGGGGGGGGGGTGGGGATGTCCCAAGGAGCTGATCAATCGGGGCTTTGGACCCCGGTGGTGGTGTGGGGGGTGGGATTGGGATCAGAGAGGGAGGAGGGTAGGAGGGCGGCTGAAGGCACAGTCGAAGAGGAGGGTCTTAAGACATGACTTGAAGGAAGCAAGGGAGGGAGAGAGACGAAGGGAATGTGGGATGAAGTTCCAAAGGTTGGGGGCAAAGAAGCTCAAGGCCTGAGCGCCGATGGTCGAGCGGGCCTGGCGGGGGACGTGGAGCAGACCGGATCCTGCTGAGCAAGGAAGTAAAGAGGAGGGTTACAACAAAAACTAAACAGCTTGTTTTTAAAAAAAACTGGCTCTGGGGTGTGAATTCATTCTTGCCTGGAAATGAATGAACTTGAATTATTTCGACGTTTCTAACCAGGTCTCAAGAAACAGTCAAGAACAATGTTGGCTCAGTACCATTTAGCAGCAGTTTCAGACTGAAGTTTCATAAATTATAAAACACTATATCTGGATATCAACAGCACAAGCTATTTGAGCAAACACAGAGATCTCTCGCAACCAGAAAGGGTGGAGTTACTTTACCGTTTCTGTTCTTTTCAAGATTTTTGGTGAAGAGCTCTTGCAGCAAAATATTTTTGTGACCGTTTATTGAAGTTTTGCAAAGCACAAACTTAATGGAACTGAAAAGGGAAGGAAGGGAATGGCAACGGTATATAAATCAGAATCCAGTAGCGTAGTATCGCAGGCAAGAGGACCTGGGTTTGATTCCCGGGCGGGGCCAAACTTTACGCAAATTTCCTTGCTCCATAAGCCTCTGTTTACCGAGCAGTAAGTAGGAACCCGGTTGTTAGTCAATTGGTGGATTGCTTTCTGGGGGCAAAGGAAAATTGCTCATTCATTCCTGTGTGCAATTGGCTGTCACATTTTGCCCACAATACATTCTATGAGGGGCTTTGAAACGTATCAACGATATGATTAGGCACTGTACCAAATGCAGGGATGTGGGGGAAAAGCTAACTGAAAGCACGGGCAAAGAGGAAGGTCTTGAAGGGACTCGGGAATGGAGAGTCAGGGCAGATAGGTTTTGAAGCCCGACCGCCGATGATGGAGGACATGAAGCAGGCCAGTGAACTGAGGGAGTGACCAGGTTGGGTTAGGGTTTGAGAAGGTCACAGAGATGGGTGGGGCAAGCGATTTAATGGTTAGGATGAGGATCTTAATCTAAAAAATTATTGGCTGGGATTCCAGGACCAGTTCCCTCTTATAAACTTCCTTCCCAGGTAAGCCATCCTCCAATTTACCTACCATGGAATGGGCCACTTTCCTGGTAAAAGATAGTGAGGTTTATTATGTGCTAATAGCTAACATTGGAGATGTTCCCTTTCTCGTTTAAAATAGGATATGCCATTGTTAGCTCATCAGAAGAGACAACTTTACCTGCAATAGTAAATCAATAAACATTGCATACCACAATGTGCAATAAATTTTATTTTCTAATTGATCTTAAATAGCATTTGACCATAACCATAATCTTCATATTGCAGTGGAGCAATATTTTCCATTGGAAGTTTAATTTTAGGTAAAATGTAATCTTACCGGGCTGTATTGCATGTCCCCAAACTGTATAACATCTTCTTTCCTTAACTGCAACATAAACCAGTTCTCTCATTAGTCTGGCACACACGGTTAAATTATCCTTCCTTCCCCACATCCGGTCCCTAACCAGGACCGCTTTCCTCCACCTTAGCCACATTGCCTGCCTCCGACCATATCTTACTCCAGCTGCAGCCGAAGCCCTCGTGCATACATTCGTCACCTCCCGCCTGGATTACTCAAACGCATTCCTCACCCGTCTCCCCAGCTCCACTATTCAAAAAATTCAGCTCATTCAGAACTCTGCTGCTCATATACTTACCCAGACCAAACTCTGTAGCCCCATCTCAGGCCTCCTGCTTGTCCCTCGCGCCCTCCGACACCATTGGAGATCACGCATTCAGCCAAGACTCCGGAACACTCTCCCTCAGTCGCTCCGCCTTGCCCCCCCCTCCCCTTTTTCCCGCCTGAAAACCTTCCATTTCGACAGTGCTTAACGGCCACCTTCCCCCACACCCCCACGCGCCCCCAGCTCGGAGTAAGGCTCCGCCACTGTTAATCGCTCTGGCGCAAGTTGTGGTTGTTATCCCTTGTTTTTCTCCCTCTTTCTGCAGACGAGCCAACAAGCCCAAGTATTGACCTGGTGGCAGATCACGTCCCAGCCTCCGCTGTTGTTTCCAGTGGACATAACTCAGCACCACGTATCATCACCAGCCCTGCGTCTCCAACCTTCGCATTCCCTCTCCCACGGCACTACTCACAGGACTGCAGTAAGTTGAGAGCGAGTCAATAACGAGAGTTAAGAAATAGATAGGTACCTGAAAAGGAAAAATTTGCACGAAAATGGTGAAGGAGCAGGGGAGTGGGACTGATTGGGTGGCTCTTCCAAAGAGCCAGCACAGGCACGATGGGCCGAATGGCCTCCTTCTGTGCCATAATATTCTATGACTCTATACGAAGTGATGTGCAAGTGGATTTGGCCAGTCAACAAAAAGGAGATGGTAATGAGATCAAGATATTTTTGAAATGCTCCCAAATTGTAATATGTTATAATCGAGAGTTCTGTCCTCAATCAGTGTACAGTATGGTATAAAAATGGAAGCAGAATCCTCTTTCAGTTAATCTGTCTGTTCTCGAAACACCAGGAAAAACTAATCTCGCCTCTTATTGTACATTGTAAGTCTTCTAAACGGAATAACTGAGAAATCCTACTATTACTCCCTGCCATCGTGGCAACAGATTGTATCTATCAGCTTGTGCATGAAGCGAGGTGACGTGTCGAAACTAAGGCCAGATTGCCAATGTAAATTAAATTGAAATTTTGATAAATCAATACTGTATTGAAACAGGTTAACCAGGTCAGTTATTTGATGATTATGACTATTTGGATTTTGCTTCTGTACTTAACGAGTATAATTCTGGGATCAATCACCAGATGCAGGAATTGCTGAAAGTAATCATCTTTTTTTCCATCTAATGAGAAGTCTTGACGGTCGGTTTCTGATCGCAAGAGTGGAACTTCACGAAAGGGTGCACAGGTTTTTACTGGTGAAAGAGAGTTTATTGCAATGCGCAATGTAGCAAGTTCAAATTGTACCTCTTTTTGAGTAGAACCCAGTAATAAATCAAAAGCATTGAAGCCAACCCAAAATTAACTGACCATCAATTCCACTAGGCTTAAATATCTACTGTCTTTGCCTCCACCCCAGGCCCCATTCACAGGGTGTCCACAACACATCCCTGTAGTCACAAGTGGGCAAACTAACTGATGATCTGACTATTTGGATTTGCTGGAGGTATCGACATGGTATTTCCACTGTCAAACAATGCAAATGGCAAACAAAAATGTTAAATGGTGAGAAAGAAGAAATTGTGTCACGGGGTTTTCGAAGCTGCATTGAACACTGCCCATCTTTTCCTTCCTTCCTTCCTTCCTTCCTTCCTTCCTTCCTTCCTTCCTTCCTTCCTTCCTTCCTTCCTTCCTTCCTTCCTTCCTTCCTTCCTTCCTTCCTTCCTTCCTTCCTTCCTTCCTTCCTTCCTTCCTTCCTTCCTTCCTTCCTTCCTTCCTTCCTTTTCAATTCTTGTTATGTGTGCTGCATTTTGTTTCATCAGGCAACATTAAAGCTAGCCGACGCTCCTCTTACCTTCTAGCTATAACGACCGAGAGATCAAAGTCATGTGATGAAGGATTAAATTCATATCGGGAAGAGCGAAAGGTCTACTCGTAAGTTTTTTCACGGGAACTTGGTTTGATGATCAAAACCTGTTGTCTTTCTGAAAAAAAATCAATGTGGAAATTAAACGGATTCACATCCTAGTGTGAGAGTGAGTGGGTGGGTGTGTGTGTGTGTGAAAGAGAGAGAGAGAGAGAGAGAGGTCCCTAGACTTAGATTTATTTGTCTAATGCTCCAGATTGTCTGATGCAAAAGAATAGATGGTACAAAAGAATAGATATCAAAACAAGTTGTAATTGGGATCCCTCAGCCTCGCCCATCCTCATCTATCTTTAAGTCTCACCTTGAAACCTACCCCTTAAACCAATTGTCACCTCCCACATACCCTTTTCCCTGACTCTGCAATCCAACCCCATCACCGACAAGCAGTCCAAGAGACGAGCCAACATGAAGGGAGCTATATCAATGCAAGTTGTTGCTGTTGCATACCTGGTTGACAATAATGTCTGGGGTTATGATTAAGGGGCCTATCTCACTACAAATGAATCTCCTTCATATTCAAAGATGTATTTTAATAGTTTATTCATCAGCTGAAGAGCTTTAGAAATTATTGGGATAAAATTTGGTCAGTGTATGAAGTTTCGGACCTTGGTGGGAGAGGCCATCTCAGTGTTTGGTATGAGATATTATCTGGGTGTCAGGAGATGTGAAGCATTGTGCGCAGCGCTGAGCTAATCCACATTGACTTTTACAAGTTATGATTTGTTTTAACCAAAGCAGCTTATAAACGATGATATCCTGCGGTGTATTTGATGCCTAGATTCTGTGCTAAATTGTACAGAGGTCAAGGAGACATTTTGATCCCTCATTTTGGTGTCTCTTTTTTTCCCTTAGGAAGCTGCCAAAACGAGTTCCGAGCCTTAAGATTCTGAAGAGTTTTTTCACAGACGGGGTAAGAGTCGATTTGTAAAAGTTGTAAAATTAAATCTCCATCGCTCACCAAAACCCGCTTATAAATCGTCAGAGATCAGCTGCATAAAGCTGCTGCTTAATTATAAATGAGGAGATTTACTTGGGGATTGGCCAGAATCAACTATTTGCAATTCTGGTCTCTGGGTGTTTCTGTACCCACGAATATGGTCATTCGCAGCAATTTTGTGAAAACAGCCTTGAAGTGAATGACTTATTTTTTTTTAATCTGGGGAATTGTTGACCAGGATACCGGGAGAATCTCCTATAGTCAACGCTTATGAGGAGAGTGAGCCTCTAATGTGAAATCCACTCTCAGGAGGATTGAGATTTTATTTCCAGGAGCCTCCGACTATGAAAACCATTGAATCTGTGGTGATGAATAAACCATTGTGTTGCGCGGAGTGAAACATTCTAGTAGACGTAAAATGCCTGAACGACAAAACTACCAAATTATTTATGAAAAGTACATTTTTAATTTCTGCCCCAAAATTAGTCAACCTGTTGTGGCCCCACAGGACTGAACCCAGGAAAGATGTTGTCTTGCGATCTGTAAATATTGTATGCCATTCACTGGAGATAAACCTGCATTCATCCAAAGTGCACCGATGAGCTTTTTATTTTTAATTATTGAGTGCTTGAAACACGAGCCAAACCTCAGTGATGTTTAGAAAGCAGAGTCCCGGAATCCTGCTGTTGTATGAGTTGCTCTGCATAAAGCTACTTCTTAAATATAAATGATCATTAAAGCACCAGTTCTTTGGAGGTGGCAGGTTGGCCAGAATCAACCATGTACAGATGTTTTCTCTGGGCCATTTGCCTGTGAACATAACTAGCCGCAATGTCCCTCAAACAGCCATGAAGTGAATGACCAATGATGTGGTGACTGAGTTCACTTTGGGGCCATTGGTGGCGTTAGGCATATCCAACCCATGCAATTGCAGGAAGCCCTGCAACTCGGTTACTTGTTGTCTCAAAATGGCGATGGATGAAATGATGGAGTGATGGGACACAAGGTCACAGCCTAAACACGGCTTCTCCAGGCCCACGTCGGCTACCTCCAGCCAATAGCCACAAGTCTCAGGTCCGGCACATCCCCCACTACGTGGAGTCCTGTAGCTCAGTGGTTAGAGCACTCGCTTTGCAAGCGAGACACCTGAGTTCAATTCCAGGCAGAGGGCGAAACCTTGGGCAAGTTTCCTTACTCCACACAGAGCCTAATAATAATCCCTCCAAAACCAAAAACAATAATAAATTGGTCATTTTCAATCTACGACTGTTTGTGGGACATTGCTGTGCGCAATTGGCTGCCGCGTTTCACCCATAAATATACAGTCAATTCACTTCACAGCCTCTTCTGTGAAGCACTTTGAGACGTCGAGAAGATGTGAAAAGCGCTATATCAAATGCAAGGATTATTATTATTATTATTACGTCCGGTTTCCTGGGGACTCGTTGCCAGTCTCCCAGCATCTGAGGAGAAGCCGTCCAGCTCTGGCCGGCGTTTGAGCTGTGCCACAAGCTGTCCTCACGGTGAGCGAGTCGTCACCCGCCACCTACTGACACGGGTACACTGGCAACACTGGCAGGGACCCTGGAAGCGAGCTTTGCCTGAGGCCTGCAGGACGAACACTGGCCTTCTTTGGGCTGATTTTACCGCTGGTGACTGGGACGCTATCCTGCGTGAGGGCGTTATATAAATGCAAATTGTTGTCGGTGGTGGTCACTTTCAGGGAACCTTAAACACGCTGGTTAACAAAATCTTCAGGACCGTCTGACCATTTAATGTTTGTTTGATCAGTCCCTAGATAGCTTGGACACCTCTGAAGACACGAGAACTAAGCGACATTCCACTTCCGACCTCTGTGACGTGACTTTCAGTGATGTCAGGAAAGAAGGATGGTTGCATTTTCGGCAACTCGTCGCAGAGAAGGGAAAGGCAAGTCCTATCTCTGACGTAGCATAGGTTTAAGTAGAAGCTTCCGTCAGCTAACATTTTCTATCATTGTTTAGTGACTCCGTTTTTAATATTATAACTTCCATCTCTCTCTTTCTCTTTCGCACACGTACAGACGCACTTTAATACATATAAAACTTGAACAGACTAATTGTTTATCTCTCTTACAAATTACTTTGCACTGTTTTTATTTTTCTGTTGTTTCCCTCTTCTATTTGAATTCAAGAGGAAACTTGATGCATGCATGTGGAGAAGGGAATAGAAAGGTAAATGAAGCAGGAATTAGGAGGCCCTTTGTGGAGCATAAACACAGCAAAGAGGAGGTGAACCAAATGGCCAACGTTGATGCTGTACGGTCTTCGTAATTCTATGGAATGGATATACTATGTTGGAGTGGCTGTAACAGTGAGATACTTCATTCAGCCACCCAGCTGAGATCTAATGAGTGCAAAGGCTAGTCTTCTCTTGCCTCATGTGTAGAGCTGGTCTTTCAAAAGAAAACGATCAATAGCTGAAAACAATGTAACACTGCAAGAAGCTACGTAATGATTGTGGCAGTGTGTGTTGGCCATTAATAATCAGTGGTGTGTTGCTCGAAACCTTACTCAAAGGTTAAATCCAATCCTGTAATCCTACTTTCCCAAATGCATCATGCTGGCCGAGTGGATTTGATTTCAGTCTCTTTCGTCCCTTTTCCCCTCACTGGAACTGAGTTTTCAATGAATGATGTGCTGTACGGTTCCCAAGTAAAGGTATACAATTAATAATTAATTTTGCAATAAGCTCTTGGGAAGTTTAATGTGAGATGATTCAATATTCTAGGAATCCTAATGGCCCCGGCTGCTTCCTTGAATATTTCATACAGCTATTGGAGCACATTTAGATGAAGTGCTCAGTAGTCGCTTGCATCACACTTGTTTTTCTTGACCGCTTCGAATGTAAGTACAGCATAAAATACTGTAGTTTCAACTAATATAATGGCTAACAAAATTATGTCCAAAAACACCCAACAAGACAGGTGCGTGGTTTCCTCACTAAGCTTGTAGCTGGTACAACCTGTCACATCTGAGGTATTGCAGTGTCATGTGGAAAAGTGGAAATATGTTTTATTATCAATTATGCATCTGTTAAAATGATGTTCTTACCAATGGAAATCTATCTTTTTGAACTGTTCACAATATAAATGAACGTATTACCTCCTGTACTGCAGCGGATTGGATAAAGCACTCGCGTCGCAAGCGAGAAGGTCTGGGTTTGATTCCCAGGCTGGGTGAAACCATAGGCAAGTTTCCTTACTCCACACGGCTATGTTTATCCAGCAGTAAGTGGGAATCTGGTTGTTAGTTGGTTGGCGGATCGCTTTTCCAGGGACAATAATTCCTTAAAAAAAATTAGAACAATTTGATCACTCACTCACGACTGTTTGTGGGACACTGCTGTGACAGTTAACTGCCACATTCACCCCAAAAATATACAGCCAATTCACTTTAGAGTATATTCTGTGAAGGGCTTTGAGACGTCTCGAAGACATGATAATGCGCTACATCAAATGCAAGGATTATTATAGTATTATTATAGTATTATAATATTTTAAGGATAATTGTTTCGAGGGAATATTTGGTGCTAATTTGTCCGATCAAAAAAGTCATGGAGTAACGAAACTTGCCTTCCATTTCGCCCTGTCCGGGAATCGAACCCAAGTCCTCTTGCTTGCGAGGCAAGTGCTCTAACCAATATGCTACATGACTCAATTTTGGGGTGAAGTTCTCATTGATGCTCTTAGTACACTTTGACAATGTGCACTTATAAAATGTAATCAAATTGACATAACATTACCCCTTCATTCTTTATCTGTTTGATGAAACACGCGTCTGTACATTGTGTTTCTGCTTCTGTGCAGACTTTGTATCATGTGAATTAGAAGCAAATAGAAATGACATGTCACAGCTAAAAACAGAGTTTGTGGCAGAAGAGCAGAGACGAATTAAAGGCTGCGCTTCTGGACGCTTACGAATGAGGTCCTGTCTGTGTGGGATCAGTTTTCAATGCTTTCCATTATTTCAAAATGCAAACAAATCGCATGTGCATCATTTTGAGGGGAGGGAATCGTTGTGAGGATATGGAATATTTAGAGCGTCCCTCCAGGGAGAGAGTGCGCATTCCATTCCAAAAATCTAGCTCCGTAATTTCCATGCGTAGGTGGGGTGTGTCGAATTCTCAGTTTGGTTTGGATTGCCGGGGGAGTCAGCAGGTCAGAGAGGTAGAGAGATGTCAGGGTGTGAAGGGATTTGTAGAGGAATGTGAGAATCTTCAAGTCGATTTGTTCGGGAGCCAGCGGAGCCTGGCAAGGACTGCAGTGATGGGGGTATGGAGTTTATGGGGGTATGGAGTGAGTGTACGGGCGGCAGAGTTTTTAACTATTTTGATTTTGTGGATAGTGGAAGGGGGAATAATTGAGGTGGTAGGTGCCAAAAGCGTGGATGAGGGTTTCAGCTGCGTGAGGGGTGATTTACGGTCAGAGGCAGGCAGTTAACAGAGGTGGAGGAAAGCGGACTTAGTTAGGGACTGGGTGTTGGGGTTGGAAGGACAGCTGTGGATCGAGACTGCAGAATATTTCGCTACGGCAATTTGGGTTCTGTAGGCTCTGTAGTGGCTGGTGTTGATTAGGTATCTTTGATGAATCCAGAATTAGTAAATGGTAATCCCAGGAGATTTTCAAGCGTGCCCAGCCTGCATAAGAGAAATAACTTATCTTCTTATATTTCTAATGCGAGTTCATTCCAGTGAGTTTTCTGTCAGAATTTGTTTCATTCCAGTGATGTATTGATCAAGAATGTAGTTTATGCGTGATTCAGGATTACAAACTGTTTATTTACGAGTCAATGAAATGAATAAGTAGATCGGAAGAAAATAAGGCACTGCAGTTTAAAATGAACTGTTGATTTTCCTGCAAATGCGTTGCTATTTGAATTGTTTTTCTTGATTATCTAGTGATTTGCTTCTTACTAATCTACTTTTCTTTTATCTGATGATTTATTGATTTATTTGCTTATCCATTATTCATGCCCTGCCATCGAGCTCTCAGCTGTTTCTGACGGTAACTGTTCTCCTTTGTTTTCCTATGTGTGGTACACATACTTTGTTTCTTCTGGATATTAGTGGTTCTTTCAAATGCGTAGGAAGATGAAACGCACAGCTTTTCAAAAGATTAAAATGGACAAGATATTCTATTGAAGTTTCACATCCATGGAGTTTTTTTTTAAAAAACCCAGCCTTTGCTGTTTTCCTTTCGCAGAGGATTGTGAGCAGCATTCGTCCTTGGAAACGGGTTTATGCCCTCCTGCGATCACATTCCTTGTACCTGTACAAAGATAAAAGGGATGCCGTGTCTGCCTCTTCCTCACAAGCTGATGACGAACAGCCCATTTGTATCAAGGCCTGTTTGATTGATATTTCATACAGTGAGACTAAAAGGAAGAACGTTTTTCGTCTGACTACATCGGACTTTTGTGACTATCTGTTCCAAGCTGAGGATAGGGACGACATGCTGAACTGGATTAAAATTATCCAAGAAAATAGTAAAACCGAGGGAGAAGTGAGTACTGTTTTTATTAAAAACATAAAGTATTCCAGCAGAGAAAAAGGCTATTCAACTGTTCCAGGTCTGCGCACTGTATTTCTCTACATGAAAGTAATGCAACTGTGGGATGTTTGCGGTGTGCAAATTGACTGCCTGCTTTTTGACTATAAAAATACACCTCATTGAATCTTGTGAAACTCTTCAAGACATCCTCCTGACATGGAAGGTGCTATGTCAAAAGCAACGATTATTGATTGATTATTATCAATCCCAATCTCCTGCTCGCACCCCAAACCCCTTAATATTCCTCCTCATCAAACATCTGTCTAATTTCCTTTTTAAAATAAATCATGGCCTCTGCCTCAGCCACAGTTTGTGGCAGAGAATTCCACATTCCAACTAAGCCTCTCTGAACAAATGTTTTCTTCCAACTTTCCCTTGAATTCTTTGAATTAAAAGTAGAATTATAATAATTCCTTACAAAAAGAATATGGGGCCTCTGGCTGTCAGAGTGGTAATAATAATACTAACCCTTTCATTTGATATAGCGCCTTATCATGTCATTGAGACGTCTCAAAGAGCTTCACAGAATATATTGTAAAGTGGATTTGCTTTATATTTTGTGATACAAAACCAGCCAATCACCCTGACTCAAACTCTGAATGTGAATTGCAAGTTATATTCTTCCCATCGTTTCAGCAGTTCACTGGATAGTGTATGGAGACTGAAAGAGTACTTCATACCATCCACCAATATAAGACATCATCCTCGGTTTAGACATCACTAGTGGTGGCCAACCATATGAATATTTCTTGAGTTATGGTCACCATATCAAAATCGCTACTCAGTAAACATTAATTTAACGCAGACTTGCCTGGACTAGTGCGAATGTTCAGCAGGACATTTCTTGATGGGCAATGGGTTGGCCACACTTGTTTTAGAGTGTGAGTGGGCAATCAATGGTATACCGTAGCATTTTGGTGATACTATTCTGTGCCGGAGTTGTTGGGACAAAGACTAAATCCTGGCAGAAATGCGGTGAGAGCCACTCTGACCCACAGGATAATATATCCTCAATATACCCGGAAATAAATCACAACATAATAAAAATAATAATCTTTAATTTGGATATTTGACATCGTTGAGACGTCCCAAATATATAAACACAGTGATACGTGTGGCAGAAATGTTTAGTGGATAATGGAAATGTTTTAAAAAAGGTATGTTTAACATAATTTGCCCTTGAGAGGAATTGTTTAACAAAACCTTTTAATTCTCTTTTTCTTTAAAATTAGGACACAAGTACAAAATTGATAGAAGTCAAATTGAAGGAGTACAGAAACCAGAGGTACCGAAACCTTTTTGTTGTTAAGTCACCTCTTTCATACATAGCACAGAGTGTTCAGCCAGTGCTGGATTAGACACTTGTTTGTTTCCTATCCAGTTCCTGGAATAAAGAGGTACTAATCTGTGTGTGTTGGTACTCGTTCACACGGCACCTGTGCTGAGGGAGTGTTGGGGCCTCCACCCAATCTGAGACGTCTGACTCATCATTATACCTCATTCCTCCCGATGTGTACTTTTCACAAAAAAAAGACTTAGTGAGAGATATGAGACAGTTTCTCTTACTGTGCTCTTTAATATATAAAGCCGTGTACTTATAATAAAGGCATAAATCACCACTGAAACCTGCTGACTGGTGCTCCTTAGACTGACTTTTGGGTTGTCTGTAATCTAGCTTTATTTACAATGGCTGACGTTGTCCTGACTTCAGGTCGGGGCCTGCTGTCGTCTGAAATTGGGAGCACCGTCACAAACTGTTCGTCTCGTGGCCACACTGGGACTAATGGGGAGAAATTCTACCTGGCTCTTCTTTTATTCTTATTTACCTCGCATTTATAGAGTGTCCAAAATTTGGCAACTTCTTAAATGCAACCTTAATGTTTAAGCTGATTTTCTTTTAAGAACTACAGATTTCTGCCAATAAAGAAACAGAACAGGCGAGATCACGAGCAGTCGTGTTTATTAAGATCAAATACAGAAGTCGCTGGGAGCGCTCAGCAGGTCAGGCAGCGTCTACGGAGAAAGGAAAGTGCGTCAATGTTTCGGGTCCACGACCCTTCGTAAGAACTCAGTTCTGCCAAAGAGTTGTGGCCCCGAGACATTGACTCACTTTCCTTTCTCCATAGAATCCGCCTGACCTGCTGAGCGTTCCCAGCCACTTCTTTTTTTGCTTCAGATTTCCAGTATTTTGCGGTTATGTTTATAAGGATGTTACGTTAACTGCTCCTCCTGCTGTCTGAAAGGAACACAGTGCTTATCCACCTTGTTCAGTGTGGCTATTAAAATGGGACTGAGGAAAAACGGAAATAACTAGAAAATAAAATATTATAGCGTTGGGAGCAAACGATGGGTTTACATCATTTTACGGCTTCACTAAATTATGAAACCTGCTGGCCGTGTGCCGAGCAGCTAACGTTACAGTCCTGCATTTAGTTTTACGATTGAGATAGGGTTTCTGGTTTGCCACACGGGCCAAACACTGGAAGTAGGTTTCAGTTGTTCTCAAATCGATTCTGGTTTAAAGCTGAGACCGCTGTGTGGATTGTGTTACAGCCCTGCAAATAACAAGTCAGACTCCTCTCCAAAAGGACCCCGCCATCATGTTATCCGAAGGCCACGATCACCCAGGCAAGATACCAACCTCAAAGGTAATTCCATTGCTCATGCCACGTGTTGTCACTCTCACCACGCCTGACAGTTTGAGAAACTTCCATCTGCCTCAATGATTCCCCGGCCCTTTCACCTCCGTTAAGAATTGAAGGTGGTTAGATTTGGTTACAGCAGTGGAGTGAGCGTGTGAGCTTTCATCAGCCGGCGACACTCTTTTCAGATGCTGGTTAAGCTGCTGCATCTTCAACACTTTCCTGTCTTTCACATCAGTAATCATGATGTGGTGTGGGAGATGATTCAGAATGTTGGGATTATCAGAGACCCAAGAGGTTCAGCATTCACGTGTGATTAGGTGGTAAAGAGAATGGATATAAATTGTGTTTCAGTCTCTTCAAATAATCTTATCAATGTAGGCTGTCTCAGTCTACCTGCAAGAGAGAAACCATGCAACAGAGGGCACCCTTGTTTCACAAAGTGACTTCAGTCTTTGCAAAAATCTATACTCTTAGGGAGGGACCACCTTCTTGGGACCTGGACAGCTGTCAGAGACCTGGACGCCGGTCACTGGCTTGGCCTCGCTGACCAATGGGACCAGCTGCGGGCAACACAGAGAATTATCTCACCAATCCGCCCCAGATTTTTCTGCAAAGAAACAAAATGACCGAATCGTTCCATTCTGAAACAAACCCTCTCAAGAGCTTATGGCGTTGAACTAAGATGGTTTAGTTGGGTGCACAGGGCGGGGAGTCAGAAAGGGGAGTCAGTCTACATCAAGTGTACCACAAGAACAACAACTTGCACTTATATAGCACTCTCCGCCCATAGTAGCGTCTCAGAGCACTTAGCAGTAGCTGAGCCTGACTCCAAGCCGGGGGAGTGGGGGAGGTGGCCGTAAGCACGGCGAACAGGAAAGCTTTTAGGCGGATTTTCGAATATTATGATTATTATTTATGTTTATAAAGCTACCTTCACGTAGGATAGCATCTCAGAGTGTATACAGTAGAATTTATATTTATATAGTGCCTTTCATGTAGGGAGGACGTCTCAAAATGCTTACAACTGCTTGCTGGACACTGAGCTAGGGGTGCAAGCCAAAGGAGGTGGGGATATTTAAACAAAGTTCCAACACCATACAGAATGGTAATAACAATAATAATCCTTGCATTTGATACAGCGCCTTATCACGTTTTCGAAATGTCTCAAAGCGCTTCACAGAATATACTGTAAAGTGAATTAACTATATTTTGTGGGCGAATCACGACAGCCAATTGCACACAGCAGTGTCCCACAAACAGTCGTGGATTAAGTGACCAAATTATTATTTTTTCGAAGGGTTTATTACCATCAGAAACTGATCTTGCAATCGACTAACAACCGGGTTCCTACTTACTGCTAGCTAAACGGGCGTGTGAGATAAAGAAACTTACCCAATGTTTTACCCTCCCAGAGAATCAAACCCAGGTCCTCTGGCTTGCGAGGCGAGTGCTCTAACCACTAAGCTACAGGACTCCATGTTTGATCTCTCAGAGTTTCTGATTGCTGTGAGCTCACACCACCTTCAGGAAGGCAATCAGAGTTAGAAGCACTAAGGTTGCCCACTTGTTCAGGATTCTGTCCCGATTGACGAGTTTCAATTGTGTTAATGGCTTTTGTAAGTTTGATGCCAGTCGACCGGAATAAAAAACAGAAAATCGAGGAAGTGGAATTGCACATCAGCTCGCTCAGTGTCAGAAAGAAGAACACAAGTGTGATCAGGGCTGAAGCAGCCAGGTCTAATGAAAGTTGACACCTCTTCAGATATTGAGTGACCTGCTGGCATTTTCAGTACTTTAGAGTTACCAGGTTGCTGTTTCTAGCTCTTCAGCCAACTGCCCTCAGTGCTAGTTCAGGTCAAGCTGCATAATTATCCTAACTAAAGACCAATCTGTCATAATAATACAACTTGCACTTACAGTGGAGTCCTGTAGCTCAGTGGTTAGAGCACTCGTCTTGCAAGCGAGACACCTGGGTTCAATTCCAGGCAGAGGGCGAAACCTTGGGCAAGTTTTCTTACTCCACACAGAGCCTAATAATAATCCCTCCAAAACAAAACAATAATTAATTGGTCATGTTCAATCCATGACTGTTTGTGGGACGCTGCTGTGCGCAATTGGCTGCCGCGTTTCGCCCACAAATATACGGTCAATTCACTTTACAGCATATTCTGGGAAGCACTTTGAGACTTCGAGAAGACGTGAAAAGCGCTATATCAAATGCAAGGATTATTATTATTATAGAGCACCCTCCACGCAAAGCAGAAAAAGGGGTGAAAAGGGGCAAGGCGGAGGGAGTGAGGGAGACTGAGGCAGAGGGATTGAGGGAGAGTGAGGTGGAGAGATTGAGGGAGAGTGAACAGGGATTGTGGGAGAGAGAGACCAGGAATAATAATAATCCTTGTCTTTGATAAAGCACCTTATCACGTCGCCAAAATATCTCAAAGCGCTTCACAGGATTTACTAGAAAGTGTAGTGACTGTGTATCCGAAGACACAGTTCCTGCATAGACTGTACGCTGCCGCATCTTCTGTACTTGTTTTAACCAACTTTCTGGGTTCTGAGAACAGCTTACATTATCGGGAGTCGATTTTGAGCATCAAGGCGCCTGACCGTGTGAAGGAGTTTCAGTAAAATATAATAATGGTTATTTGTCTGGTTGCTTTAGCCGTCTTATCGTTTAGACTCTGGCTCTGCCTAACACTGATGCTACAGATAGCGATCTTTCAGATAGGTATTCTTTATAGTGGTGAATGTAAAAAGAGTTCCCTGTGTGTGCAAACCCCACTCTCCCCCACGTTAAGCTCAGTAACACTCCTGCCCCATTCTTCAGTAATATGAATATTCACTCGTGAGGTTTTGATGATATTCATTCTTTCAAAGATCAGCCTTTTATCTCCAGGAACAAAGTAGTTGTGGCGTTGGGTTGATTGAGATATCAATTTAACACAAAATTCCACTGTGTGCAAATAGCAAAGGCAAACTAATTGTCTGCAGAGGGAATTTCCCAGGACTCGTGAAGCAGAGTTAGAGAAGACTGTGAAGCTTAGTCTATCTGATTAATTCCTAATCTTTTCATACTAATGACTGCTTTGTCAGAGTACATGGCAGAGCGACACGAAGAAAGACCAAGTTTCAAACCTATTTATGACATTTGTTCAAGACTTCAATTCATAGGAATATTTTTTCTTCCATTAAATGCGGTATTCTTCTATTATATGCTAATAATCCTGGCGCCTTTTACATCTTCAAAACATCTCAAAGATTCACTGAATTTTAAGGGGCAAACGTGGCAGCCGTTTTGTGCATCACAAGTGTCTGCGCACAGTCATGAAGTGAATGACCAAATTTTTAACTGGACAATTGTTGGCCAGGACACCAGGAGAAACCCCCTTCTCTATTTGATTAGTGCCACGCGGTCTTTCACATCCACCTGAAACAGACACAGACGTCTCATCAGAAGGGCAACACCTCCAGCAATGCCGCTCGCCCCCAGCATTGTATTTGAGTGTCAGTCTAGACTGTGAGTTCAAAGTCCTGACGTGGGACTTGAACTCACAACCCTCTGACTCAGAGGTGAAAGTGCGATCCGCTGAGTTAGGCTGATGCACTTATGAAAATGCTGACGACTGCTGGACATAAAACATAGTGACCAGTGTGGCTGTTTTGGGACATTCCTGTGGCTGCAATGTTTACCTACAAAATACACTTTACTCTAAATCCTGTGAGGAGTCAACTTGACCTGAAAGGTACTATAAAATGCAAGTATCATTAGATTTTGCTCTGCTCGGTTGGAGAATAACCTTTTGTCTGCCTGTATTTTGCACAGATGAAAGCAGCCCACCAAAGGACAAAACTTCCTGGTTGAATATAATAAAGAAGGCTAAGAAACCTGTTCTGGGAGCAGCATTTGGTGTTCGACTGGAGGACTGTCAGCATGGTGTTAATAACAAGGTAACTGCAATGTGCTAACAGGGTAATTACCGAAATCTTGCCTTCTCCTTGACTTTGGCTTCACCTCTTTATTTTGGTTGATGTAAAGAGCTTTTTGTGTTCTTTAAATAGCGTGAAGTGAGGGTTGTTTTGAGCAGAAGGCTTTGATGTGTTGCATTTTGATGTGTGTCTTTGTTCCTTTTTTCTTACAGTTTATTCCGTTAATAGTGGAGATTTGTTGTAAGTTGGTGGAGGAGAAGGGTCTGGAGTACACAGGGATTTATAGGGTGCCAGGGAACAATGCCATGGTCTCCAGTCTACAGGAGCAACTTAATAAGGGAACGACTGATCTAAATACCTCAGAAGAAGTAAGCCTTCAGTTCTGCTATTGACAATGTGACTCCTTTCATCGGCTATTTTCACAATATCTTCACTATCTATCCTCTAATGGCTTCTCTTCGCACTCCCACATGGTCACCTCTGGTGTGCCTTTGTGGGCATGGGGTCAGTTTCCGTCAGATGACGCACAACTCTGCCTTTTTACTTCTCTCCTTGATCCCAGCACATTGCTGTTCTGGCCCATTGCCTGTCAGACGTCAAGTCCTGAATGAGCTTTAATTGCCTTCAGCTTAGCATCAACAACAGAATACAAAAGTCAGGAAGTTATGATGGTTAGACCGCAGCTGGAGACTGTGTTCAGTTCTGGGTACCACCCAGGAGAGGTAGAGAAGCTGGGATTATTCTCCTTGGAGCAGAGAAGGTTAAGCGGAGACTTAATAGAAGTTTTATTTTCAAAATTATGGGGGGGATTTGATAGGGTGAAAAAGGAGAAACTGTTTGCACTGGTGGGTGGGTCGGTAACCCGAGGACACCGATTTAAAACAGTTGTTAAAAGAGACAGAGGGGAGGTGAGGAGAAGTGTTTTCATACAGCGAGTTTGGATCTGGATTGCATTGCCTGAAAGGCTGGGGGAAGCCGATTCGATAATTTTTAAGAGAGAAGTAGATAACTATTTGGGGAGGACAAGTTTGCAGGGCTATGGGGAGAGAGCGGGGGAGTGGGGTTGATCAGGGCTATGGGGAGAGCGCGGGGGAGTGGGGTTGATCAGGGCTATGGGGAGAGAGCGGGGGAGTGGGGTTGATTTGGAAGCTCTTTTCAAAGAGCCGGCACAGACACGATGGGCCGAATGGCCTCCTTCTGTGCTGTATAATTCTATGATTCTATAAACATTGAAGCCATCATGTTCAGCTCTCTCCAGCACCTTTTTGCCTCTGGCTCCGACTCCGCTCACCTCATGCACCGCTGCTCGGCCCTGCTAACTACGCCGGTGTGTAACCTTGGCCTTCTATGTAACTCCGGCTCGGCTTCAAACCCTGCACCTCATTCTTTTATCACGTTCTTCCATATTCGTCACATTACCTGCTTGTGGTGGTTTTTAATTCACAAAAAAATTGTTTACTGCATAGCCTGGTACTTGAGGGATTAGCTGGGACCCTCTCTGCCCCCACCCTCTGCCTCACCCCCTGCCTCCCATCGCACAGTCCCTCCACCTCGCCCCCTCTCTCCACTGCCCCCCCCTTCCATCAAGACCCACCTCAAGACCCTCCTACCCCTACCCTCTCTCCACCTGTCTTGATCCCAACTCCCAGCTCGGGTGCAGATCTCTGACTGTCCAGCGCCTTGCGACATCCTCCTGACGTGAAAGACCCTTTACCGATGTCATTTTTTGCAGTGGCTGTTGACCACCCCGTCAGGCTTTGGCCCACAGGGCTAAGGACATCTTTGTACTCGGGTCTGCCTGACTGCCATTTCCAGGAGGTCAAAAGTCAGAGGAAAAGAGATCCAAAGAATATTTTATTTCTTTTGGGCTGTTCCTTTATAGACAGGATGACCTGACCACAACTCAATTCATGGTGGTCCTGAATTCATGGCATAAAAAACAGAGTCCTTTTGAAGCTGCCCTCAGAGAGGCCATAAAGAACATCAAATTGACCCAACGTTTCAAGAAACTATCTTGAGGGCTTTTTTTTCATGCTTCTAAATTGTTCAACGAAAGACTGGTAAAGGGTATACCCTTTTTGTGTAGGTCAGGCTGTTATACTCGAGTGGTATCACAAACGTGGCTTTATCACACTGACTCCCCTTGTCTTTACAGAAGTGGCAGGATCTGAATGTGATAAGTAGTTTGCTTAAATTGTTCTTCCGAAAACTTCCCGAGCCTCTCTTCACAGATGGTGAGTAAAAACCTTTTCAGTGTGGCACTGAGAACAATAAGGCACTGTTACAATTCTTGGACACTTTAGAAGTCATTGCACTAAAAGTACAGCAATAGCCTTTTTATCTTGTGTTACATTTGTAAGCACTTCATTTGTCAGGTGGTAATAATTAATAAGAGGTTTATTATTGAATCATGAAATCTTCATTATATTTATGCCTCCAGCTAACTTTGTACGTGGGTGTTTCCTATGCTTTATAGATAAATATGGTGACTTTATTGAAGCCAATAGACTGGAGGATTCAGCAGAAAGACTTCAAACATTTAAGAAATTGGTGAGTTAAACTGGTGTATATTATGTCCTGTTAAACTCTTGACACAACGTTCTGCCATTGGTTGGTAACAGCAGATCAACAGGAGGGGTGAATAATAACAATTCACATTGATATGGGAAGGCAGTGGGGGTTAGAGTAGAAATTTCTGCTAATTTAGAGTAGCAAATCCTGAAATTGATATTGTACAGAAATACCTCGATATTAATGTTAGGCCTCATGATTACAGCTTCGTAACCTACCAGAACATTATTATGAAACCCTGAAGTTCCTCACAGGACACCTGAAGACTGTTGCGGATCACTCAGAAAAAAATAAGGTAATGTTCCCCTTTAGCTCCTTCAGTTGCTCTGGCACTGGCACGATGGGAAATTTTAGGATCCTACATGCACAATGTAAACTCGCCAGTTACATTTTGGTGATGTGTTAAACCATAATGGATCTTTCTCTCCCCAACCCAGGGTTGCTGAGGTCAATTGTAGATTTCCAAGCTAAGATCAGCTAACTCAGCCCAGACCAGGAATCAAAGCTGTAATTCCAGTCTGTGTAGCCCAGTGCTAAGATTGAGACCATGTAGACAATTGGAAAAGCTCCTGTGTATGCATTTTTATCCTTTAATAAAATATTAACAACAGTTCAACCCTTCTCTAGTTGCTGCATGTTTAGTTGTGCCCTGGATTCTTCTTGACAGAAATCTCAATTGCTTTACACTCAGATGGAACCTCGTAATTTAGCTTTGGTGTTTGGCCCCACTCTTGTCAGAACATCAGAAGACAACATGATTGACATGGTGACGCACATGCAAGATCGGTACAAGATAATCGAAACCTTAATCCAGCATGTAAGTTTAAAGCCGTCAATTTGTGATGTGTTTCCGTGGCCATCGTTGCATTGAGAGATATGGCAATGCTATTTCAAAGGCAGCCATTTGGGTATGTAGGTTTATTACCTCCATCATCGCACCTAAGAAAGAGTTGTCTTTTTATCTGGTGGAGTAGCGCTGAGGAAAGAGGAGAGAAGGAGAGATGACCATAGCTGTGTGTGGTGGAAGTGGTAGATTTTTAGGCAGACTTAAAGACATAGCGAGCGTGCGAGATAGAAGGCATTCCAGAGGTTAAGGGTGTAGCAGGGGAAGGCTCGATCACCAATGGTGGAATGTAGGGTTGGAGAAGGCCTGAGTTACCTGAGCCAGAGAGGGCTCGTGACTCGAGTTATGTTTTTTGTGGTCAGCCGAGTATCTGGCTTGGGGACCCCAGAATGTGCATTGGGGGTAACTGCTGGGGTTTAACCTGCTCAAACCACGTAGCTTGCCATTGAGAAATGATGATTCCTTATTATTATATATTGTTGATTTTTTTTTATGATTCCCTTGGTGATTAAGTGATAATACAACAGCACAGACAGATGTATGATCAATCTCATACATTATGCTGGGCATTTAGAAAAGAATTGGACAAACACATCAACAGAAGAGCATTGGAAAGTATAGGGAAAGAGATAGGGAATTGGCATAAGAATGGATGGCATCTTGGAAGAGCAAAAACGGCAAAATAGGCCGAGTGTATAAAACAAAACATAACAGTAGTTTACAAGTGTGACTCAGCCAAAAGTTCTTCTACATGTACTTATTTTATTCAAGATCCTCACCTGTAAATCCCTTCATGCCCTCGCCACATCTCTTACCCCTCTGTTCTGCTCGTTCCCTCAACTCACCTCCCTCCGCTCGTCCTCCTACCTGTCCCTGTAAAGTGCTCCAAGACACTACCCTATGTGAAGGGCACTGGCAAGTGAAAGTTGTAGTTGGATTTTATTGCCAACTGGCAAGCTTTCTCTTTCATCAAGTAACCTGTAGCAGTCGTTGTCCTGTGTGTCACTGCTGATTACTATGTTTTGTTTCAAACCAGTGTGTTTCCCTTTTTCAGTACGAGTGGTTTTTCAGTGAAGATCAGGACAAGGATGAAGAGGTAAGTTATGGTTTTGTGCTGGACAATACCAGATTATATCATTTTTATTCCTAACAGCCCATATACGGCACGGGGTGAATGGAGAAGAGAACTAGGGAGCATATTATAAGCTTAAAAAAAACTCAAGCTAAATTTGAGTTGTTGAAGCCTCATAATATTATTAATCACACATCCGCTGCTTATTGCCGTGAACTCAGTTAATACATTTAGGACAGAAACTGTCAGCTGATTGATTGATTGATTGTGTGTGTGTGTGTGTGTGAGCGAGAGAGAAAGAGAGAGAAACAAAATGAGATCGACTTAGCGCTAAGGCAGGAGAGCTGAAAGCTGTCTGAGGCAGGTAACGTACATGGACCCAAAAAGATTTACATGGTTGGTGTTCATGAACTGCGTGTTATGAAGATTGACTGTGTGTAGCATGGGTGGGCATTCCAATACCCCAACTGAAGCAATCCCAGATGTTATGTACCAATCGTAAAAATGGACCATTTCAATTCTTTCAGGTGTGTGACAAATTCCTCAGTGTTAAAAGAACCTTTTGATTAGTAACGCTCTTGCTGAATTTGCTGCACTGTATGGTGTAATTTCACCCTTTGCCGTACAGCACTAGACATTCAGCAAAGATTTAAAATCTACCGTTGTGTTATGCTGAAACCCGCTGTGTACAGCGAGCAGATCTCTGCAGTCGTCAAACATTTGCTTCTCAGTGTGATCCAGGAGGAATGTGTCTCTGTGTCACTCTGCAATTTCATCTCCTGTCACCTGCTTAGCATTGAGGGATGCCTGCCAGTGCGATGGAGGATTCTGCTCATCATTTGACTGCTCCCCCAGCTGAACGCAAACACAGAAAAGCAAAATAAGATATTAAAACAATGTAAAAGCAATTGCTTACATTTTGAGACAGAATCAGACTAATTATTTGTACATTTTGATGTTCCAGGCTCCAGTTGACCCTATAGGTAACACTGACTTACAGCCAGTCCCAAACATAGACCATCTGTTGTCAAACATTGGGAGAACAGGAGGAGCACCGGGAGATATCTCAGGTAACAGAACACATTCTGCACTGTGATATTCTGATTTTGTCTTACAGTAGAGTAGATAATAGCAGATTGTACCTGTACGTCTCTATAGTTCTGGAGTATACAGTATTTATTCCCGATTTTATAGTATCTAATCTGTTTCTAAATGTTGGTTTGGTTTGAAGATTACTTTTTTAGCTCATAACATCTCAATTGTACGCAAGCCTAAAGACTAAGATACAGTCGTTGTTGGGTTTGTTGAGCAAAATAATGCAATTCCTTGTAATCAGGTCTGCAGGGCATTTCCTGCAAGTAGCAGGAGATGGTTTCAGTGAAAAACATTCTCTCTCCATTTCAGCACCATAAACATCTCGGGAACCTCAGTCAGTTGATGTGGAACCAGAACCTTACCCAACCCGTCACCTTTTTCGCTGTATTAAAATAAATGCCCTGCATGTTCATTTGGTTCTGGGGGTAAGCGGTATCTCCCTGAGGTTGAACTTGATCCCCAAAAACATAGAATTGCGTAGTAACAGTACACCTTACAGCACAGAAATAGACCATTCCACACAGTTTGTTGAGTTAGCTCAGTTTCCAATCAAATGACTGTACAGGTTGTCCTGCATCGCCGTCAGAATGTCTGATGAGTAGCAGGTCTGTATAATTATCCTTTCAGTAGGTAGTGGATCGATGGCCATCACTCAATCTGAAAATCAGAGAGCAGCGAACAGCACTATTTCCACAATCCCAGCACAATAGTGATCATTTCTGTCCCCTGGTAACCACTCACAAGTTCAACTCAGAGTCACCCGTGTAACTGAGCTTTACATGGTTTGCTTGTGACAAAACACTAATGGAAAAGAAGAGTTATTCTGATTTGCTCGAAGAAATAAGCAGTTTGATTTGTGCGAGGCAGTCTCGTGATTGTGGTGTGAGGAGTGCAGGCTCCTCTAGTCACAGGCAAGCTGATTTGCGACATTGGTAATATGATTTGGAAATGTCAAATCCTGTGCGTAACCCGCTGATATTGTTTCCAATGCTGTGAAGCACACAGCACGTCAGTACTGGGACATCTTGACTAGAGTTCCAGCAGGTTACTGCAGGATCTGATATTTCCTCTTCATGGAATTATGCAAATTAAATCTCATTATAAAAATATAAACCCAGTTGCTGGCCCATCAAATTAGTGTGCTGTCCTGGGCTGAAAGATCCATTTCAAGTCCTAGCCATCCCTCAGACATGGAGCTGATCTTTCTCAGGTTGTCAGATACAACACTAAGGAACAGGCATTGCCAACAATTAGTTCTGACTTAAATCAGATTTCAGCCACTGTCAGCACCACCAGCTAACTACAGAGCAGCACCGGGGAAGATTCACTGACCTATCCACAGTTACTGAGCCATCCTTTCAATCTCATGGTCCTGGAGTATCATCTAATACTGGGGATGGGTGGGGCGGGGGGGAGCAGTGTCTTCCTGGAGTTGAACTGGCTCTGAGGAGGGACCACAGAGACCATCACGTCTGAGACTTGGAGGTTTAACGATGTCCTCAACCTGAAGCCCTAGTGCATTGGATGTTCCTGTGAAGTGTGTGTGTGTGCTTCAAACGGGTTGTTCAATACAGTTCTTATTGTATGAGGGGCTATACCTGGGAACTCAAAATAACAACAACAAATAATCCTTGCAATTGAAAAGGCAGAAAATAGAGAGAGAATATTCAAAGCTAAACATTTACAGTAACAATAATCCAGAGGCTACTTTATGAAGACCCGTGATCATAATCCCATCAACGATCTGATCTGATTAGAGAGATCTGACCACACACATGGTGCAGGGCAGTGATCATAAGAAAAGGATAGTGATAGGAAGAACAGATTTTATTCATGGTTTGTCCTAAAGGATTATGTTACAGTCTTTAATTTCTCTCATTTACGCCTTTCTCATTCAGTTTTAATAATCAAAATCCATATTGTACGTTTTCAGCAGAATGTGGTAGAGTGGCTGAACATTCAGACTCCCCAGAGACAATGGTCTGAAAGTCATCACAACAAAACAGGCCTTTTATTTTTTTTTCCTTTGGATTTTTTTTGTGTTTGTTCCTACTGGAGTTTTTTTTTCTAATATATGTGTTCTCTCTAATGGTTGTTGCTCTGGCAAAAGACTCCCATCAGTCTATATCATGTCATTTATCACCTATTGAAGGGACTTGATACAGTTTGTTGAATATAGACCAATGCTGTGAGAGGCATTGTGATACAGTGTGAATGGAATGCCTTGAGGCAGAGAGAATACAATAAAATTAAATTCTATTGACAATATCATTGGCATTTCCCGCCTACGTTGGGTTCTGTGAATGAAGTGCATTGCACACAACAGCGAAGCTAATTTATACAGTAGTGGCCTGGATTCCCGACTATCCCTGGGCCTCGATGGACACCAGGCAGGGATTTTGCAAGAAAAGCCTCTTGAACTATCTGCAGGAAACCCTCGGGCCCATGATCGACACGTTCCCAAACACAAGATGTGTGGCTTTCCCCTGCTTCCTGAACCCAGAACTTCCTGAGAAGTTTTAGCTGGAGTGCATGGTCTGCCTTTCTTTACTCAAACGGCTTGGTGTTCTTTCCTCTGTCCCCTCACCTTTGATGCATGGGGAGATAAACCCGTTAAGTGAAAGAATACAGAGCCTTAAGTGGAGGCTAAACACGGGTGATAATGATGATCAGATGAAGGAGTCTTAACTGATTTGCTATTTTTTTCTAATTTCCTCTCTTTGATGACTGTTTTCTTACTTTCTACTGTCTCTTATTCCTAAAGCGGACCTTGTGGAGAAATAAAACGGGTATGATCTGGCTCCTCTGTTGCAATGTCAGTAAAAACATGTTTGTCATCAAGGCAGAGTGACTGGGACTTGGGTTTGTGTATTTCAATCCCTCGAGCGTGCTGGTGTATTATCAGGAGCGTTCTCCAGATGTCTGCTTCACATCCATCCACATCAATTGACTGCTGTAAAGTTTTGATTGGGAAAAAACTGAAAAATTTATGTCTTATCCGGACTTGAATTTGCTCGCACCAAGCTAATGTCCAAAAAGCTATGTAGTATTTAGGTTTTAACAGATCCCAAAACGGTGTATATCCAATTATTATATTGAATGGCAGCCTAGTGGGTGCTTCTGGACATGAGTCTTAAAAACATGCTCCACAAGGAACCCGGCAAGTGCGTAGCTTAGTGACGTCTGAGACTTGCATTTCCACTATCTGAAAATAAACTGCATGCATCCGATCAATAGCAAATACAGAGGACACATTTGTCAATAATAACAATAATAATCCTTGCATTTGATGTAGCGCCTTATCACATCGTTGAGGCGTCTCAAGAGAGCTTCACAGAATAAACTGTCAAGTGAATTGACTGTATAGTTTGTGGGCGAATTGGCGAAATGTCTACACAGCAGATGGTATTCCTTTGCAATGTAAAGCACATTCTTGGTGACTTTTTAAAAATATATATATGAATATTTCCTCTTCCATCATGTCCACCCACAAAAAATATTATTTAATTCGCTAGACATGATGAGTATTGAATAGTATCAAACAAACCCTGGCCACTAATATCTCCCACACACGTCACCTAGATACAGCTAAATGGCTAGACTTGACCATTGCTCCCTATTGTTTGTAAGCTTGGTTTTCCATTGGTTTTTCATACTCAAACCTTGTGTTCCCTCCCACTCTTCCTTGTGACTGCAGCTGCAATTACCATCTCATGCAGAGTGTACACTATACAGCAGCGTTTAACCCTCTTGAGAACTGTGATAGCATTAATCTTTACCATCTCAACAATAATGCAACGCGGCAGATAAGTGAGGAAGGCTCCTTGTTCCTGTCCTCTGAATCATGTTTATTCTAGGTACGGCAAGACAAAAAACATTTTTTTTTGTTAGTTTTGCAAAAAAAAAACACATTTTGAATACTTAAAGAAATTGTTTTTATACGTACGTCGCAACATTTGACAATAAAACCAAGGTTGGGCATTCCAATGGTTATATCAGCATAGATTAAGCTGATTACTGCTCTCTCTCTCTCTCTCTCTCTCTCTTTCTCTCCCAATCTTTATGCTGGAATACACTGCGTTAGCTCTGTGGTAGAGTAGCTGGTAATTACAATGCAATCTCTGCCAGTTGGAGGGAAGACATTTTGGCTGATTTTAGGGTTGTAGGCTTTAATTTTTCTCAACTGAAGTCCTTTTTCGGTTTTACAAAGGATTCCAAATGGCATCGAATTCTGCCCTAAAATGAGGCAGATTGTATTTATATCCATAGCATAGTTAATGTGTGGATTACAGACGTATTTGCAGCAGCGTCATAAAGTGATTACAGATTACTTCTCTACTTTCGGACTCTCTGAGCCACATCCCATTCCCTGAATTAAGTTGGAAAAGCAGATGATTCCTTGTTGTCTACCAAGGCTGCTTTAAAGTGCAAGGCTGCGTGTGCAAGAATCGTCCGTGCATTATTTTTGGGCACCCGAGTGTCAGTGACACAGGCGGTAGGTAACCCATCATCAAGCTTGAGCAGTCCAAACCAGACTTAAGAGTTCCACAGATGCATGGAAATTTCCCTTGATCTGGAACGGGATGCGTGCTCCAGCCCCAATTATTTTCATTCCCTTTGGATGGGAAGCTTGCAGCCTCCGCTGACCCTTTCCCAGATCACCAAGTCTGCAAGCAGGAAGCGCGCGCTCGTTATGCAACTGTGTTTTTTCAGACTTGATTCTTAACGAGAACTCTTGGGGCATTGCGATGTCTATATTAGCATTGAGCGTAGCAGATCAGTGGATGGAGATGAGTCCTAGGATTCAGTGGCCTTCCGGTTCAAGAAGGGTCAACAACAACAACGTGCATTTATATAATTCCCTTCGCACGGGATAGAGTCCCGGGGCGCTTTTTACCCCCGGTTCTCTTAGCATCTTTGTGGAAGGATGACTTTCTGCCCTCTAGTACAGATTCATACACGGAGACAAAAATACCACAAGCATCCTAATAAAAAATACTTTTTTTTAGAAAATACTGATAACCTAGATTTAAAAAAAAAACCACTTTTGTAGAGTATAAAAATCTTGTAATTTGAGCTGGATCTTATTAAACTTCAGGTTGCCTTGTTGCTGTCTTTAATATTGAGGTGCAATTTGTTGTCTAAAACAAAAACCGCCGATTCCATACTGCGGAATTGACGTTCTAGAATTTCGATGGTTTTGCACATTTCTTATTAAGAAATCTGTTAAAGAAATGTCGCAAATTAACCCCCTTCAAACATATAGTGACATCACAGAGTGCCCAGCTCTGAGGAGAATAGACACACAATTCTTTATTGGTGAAGACACAGGGGTAGGTTTAGTTTATCATGTAACATAGTTTGCACTCTGCAAAGATTTCCTATTTTCTTCACATTTCATCCTTTGTTCCATTTTGTTTTTTGCACTTACTGTGTGGAGATTGATATTAACCCGTTTGATTTTGATTCTAGCGGCTTTGCTACATGAGACAAAACAATTCACTTCCTTCTGTTGAGCAGCATTTTGTCTCTGTGGTACTACTGTGCCAATATTTTAAAAACAACACTTAAACAACCAATTTAGTAGCTGGATTCAGCGCTAAATATATCTCGAGTCTCCGGTTCACAAAAGGCTTTCAATGAGACGCTTATTTGTGGTAAAAGAAAAAAATAAATATTTTGATGTCATTTGGAAACTGTGAAGTATGCTGCAATCCTGTGAAAGGCTGCAGGCTTTTTCTGTCTTTGTGGCAATGTGTTCATGAGGTTTTTGAGGATCTTTCAACAGCAAAAAATCAGTATGTGGAGCTTTGCACAGTTGATACTGCACTGTCAGGATCTGAACAAACTATCCACACCCTAGCAAGCCAGAATGATGAGCTCCTGATACAGTTGAGTTCCTTTTAAGATGACACCAGCCACATACAGTATATAAATACAGTATATTTTCGACGGATTACTCAATTGTAATTCATATTCCTATTTATTCGGTGTATATTCACACTTTTCATTGTCTTTCCAAATCGTTTGAGTGGGAGTGTTCACCTCCACTTATTTTTTTATATAGGACTAAGAACACAGGTTAATTTGAAGTGCTGGATGCCTGAATATTGATGATAATAATAATAATAATAACGCCTGATAATAATCCCTCAAAAAAATAATAAATTCGCTTCAACCCAAGACTGTTTGTGGGACGCTGCTGTACACAATTGGCTGCCGCTTTTCGCCCACAAATATACAGTCAATTCACTTTACAGTATATTCTGTGAGGCACTTTGAGACATCTAGAAGACGTGAAAAGTGCCATGTCAAATGCAAGGATTATTATTATCCTGGTTGCAAAGTTCAGCTGGTAATGACCACGTCGCTAATGGACTGAGTCTTTTAAAACAAGACTTGCAGAATGCAGTGAGCTGCAACAGTTTCAGTGACTGTCCGGACTTCTGGACACTGCCAAATCCCGCTGAGGGTCAACATCTAGAATAAGATCAGCCTATCTTAGCACAGTCCTTCAGTGAGCAATTCAGTAACTTGCACGTCAGTAAAGAAGCTGTGTGGCATTATTTCCCCTGCGCTTTAGCAAGATGCGCTATATTTTCATTGTCACCAACTGTTTGCAGAAAGTTACCAAACAGACATCTGAATGCAGGAAAAGTGGTGAATCAAATTGTCTCTCGCTTCATAAACCCAACCATTTGCCTGTTCAGATTTGACTCTGTTACTGCGCAAAAGCACAAAATGAACCAACAGAAATCTACAGATATTGAGCATAAATAAACCTGAACTCCACTTCGATCACAAAGCAATGATCTTGCCTAGTAAGGCCTAGGTGTGAAAGTTGATGTCAGGTTTCCACTGATCGAGTCTTGCGAGGTAGCTGGATGTCTCCGAGCCCTGTCCACTGGAGCCCCTCTCAGACCCCTCTCAGACTCTCTGCATTGGCCACAATTCAGCTTCACAGCCATTGGAACTGAGATCAGTGTCAGAGCACAATTCCAGCGGTCAGACTCCAGGACAACCAGTTGCCTTGGCTCAGGATAGTGAGAGCTATCAAACTGGTGGTGATAAGTCACCCAGATCTCATTGACCTCACCTTCTCGATCCCCAGCACAGCCACCAGCAGCAAGCCATGAGCATGATCTGTTATAATCATTTTGCGTTGAAGACGACAAAGGTTACTTTGCGAGAGGCTTGGCTGAGTGCTTGCGTTACAGTTAACAATGAGCCTGTTTGTCGAATAAATTTCACTTATACATAATCAGACCTTTGCATTTTCAGATTTTGCCCAGTTCTGCGGAAAATATTACGTCACCTACAGAAACCTTTCAATCGAGCACGCAGTTAGCCTCTGTTTCTGCCTTTGTAGGTCATTTACAATCAGTTTTTCAAACAGTAAATGTAAAACCGTTCATACAAATATTCAATTCCTTTCCCCCTTGATGGGGACAAAAAGATCAATAAACCTGAAAATGCAAATAAGTATTGTAAGTCCATTGCCTTGCCGTGATCTCCATGTTGCACAAAGTGCTGCTTTTTTCGTGGCCTGCTATTATAGCTTTGTCCTGTCACCTTCCTGCCCCTAACTCTTGACCATTAACAATTGTGTTACAGTGTTAACTAATGGGCTGAGCTGCCCCTAATGTGTGCTTGTCTTTGTTGCACTTACAGATTCAACCACTAGTGACTCAGCAAAGTCCAAGGTAAGGACTAAAGACCCATAGCCCATTGGGTGGGAGAGTATTTGGGGAGTCACTCCTCTTATTTAGCGTCGACAGGGTGTCCACAAAGCCCTGTTACCCCCATGTTTTACTTCTACAGTGCACTGACCAACAACTGAAACGTGTAGAAGAATGACGATCGTTGTGTTCAGAAGCACTTGATTGTATTCAGTCCAAGGGTCTAACTGTATTTAGACGTCCAGAGGATCAGTGTGTGTGCGCGAGTGCCATCATTCTCATGGCAGGTAGAGTGAGGAGGCAAAATGCATCTCTGAAAGTTTGTTTCAGCTCCTCCATAGTCTCATAAACGCTGTATTGTAACAGGGGGTAACAGGTCTTTGTGAACTCCCAGCACTTTGGGCTAGGATCAGTTTGATTCAGCGCTCTCGTTTTTGGGTCCAAAGTTTGTAATATTTACCATTTTACATAAAGATCGCAAATCATTTTATTAATTTGTGCTAATATTCCTAATCCTCTTTTAATCCAGCCACCTGCAGGTAATGTGAATATTAATTATCTATTACTGGTAAAGTAGAGGAAAAATGTAAAGCTGCATCCTATGGAAATTTCACCAGTGTCGAAAAATATCTCCTTGAATTTGTCTAGTGACACTGCATTTTGTGGGTTAAACTAAATGCATTGTTTTAGGTTAAATATGATTTTTGGGACAGCACAGAGCCACACAGACCAGACCGAGGCTGATCCCTGCTGAAGTAGCCATAACATTTGACATTTCTCATGACTGCCATTGACTCTCTTCGGCCTAGAAACGGCACTGTCAGGTCCCGAGTCTGATTAGCCATACTCTGTGAATTCCTCTCAGTCCAGAGTAGGCAAGTGGCCAATATAACTGGATGCTGCCTATTTGCACGGCTACACAAATGGTGCTGGTGCTGTCTGTCCTGGTACTGTGAGTGCAGCAGCAGCAGCTGTCTTTGATCTGCCTTGTCTCCCTCAACATGCCCGTGAGACGTAGCTCTCCGTGCCTCGCAATTGGCTTCCCAGGGTATCCGAGCCAAGTCGGATGGAACAACAATGAGCTTTCGTTCTGGTTCAACCCATTGCGCAGAGACTGGGCAAACAATTTGGCTTCAATTGGAAGTAGTGAAATCTTGGAAGGAAACTCCGAAATATTGGAAAGTTTGTTTAAAATAATTCAAGAGCATTTAGGGATCTGGTCATCTCATGGCGGAGGGGAGGTTTTTCGTGTGAGCTCCCGAAGCCTTTGGATAAAGGGCATGTGGAGCCGCACATGAATGAAACCCACTGTAAGCACTAAACATGTTCAATCGTGTGAAAGCCTGTTTTGATCTGTGTGTAATTGCAGGGATCCTGGGGATCCAGGAAGGATCTGTACAGCAGGGAACTTCTGGTGATATCAATCTTTGCATCGGTCAATCGTAAGAGAAAAAAGCAAAAAGAGGCGAAGGTGCCTGAAAGCAGCACCGATGACGATTCAGAGCATGAACCTATTAAGGCTATTAACAAAGAGGGATCAGCGAACAGAAAGGAAGCAGACAGACAGAAGGAGATGGAAGGGCGTAAAGAGAAGGAGGCAGCGAGCAGCAGAAGTGTGGTGTTGGAGCAATTTCACCAGTCCATTGCTGATAAGGAAGATCATAAACTAGTGGGGGAAACCGGTCATTCCAAGCAGCCGTGCAGGCGGGTATGTCGGGGGGAGGCTGGCGACGTAGCTAATCAGAACTCGTTGTCCAGTTCACTTCTCAGTCCGTCCTCAGCTGGTCCTGAGGGATTGTTCAAAGACGGCGCCTCCCCCAAATCGCTCAACTCAGACCCAAGTAACGGTTCAGGGGACAAACTAGCCGTTACCTCTCCTCCGTCTCAGAGCGCCAGTGACTCGCACTCTAAAAGAAACCGATTCCGGCTGTGGAGAAGCGCCGAAGTGGAACACAGGGAGAGCCTTCCAACCGACGCCAGCTCCATTGTGTCGGGATATTCCACCATCTCGTCCACTGTGACCACCCTGGACCACACGTTGAGTTCCGAGGTGCAGTCGATCGCGGAGAGCCGAGGCGACGAGGCAGACGACGAAAGAAGTGAGCTGGTCAGTGACGGCGGCCACATCGAAACCGACAATGAAAGTGGCTACCAGACCCGGCCACTGCCCAGCAAGGCTTCCCGCTGCTCGCAGCAGCCAAAGGGGAGACCTGGTCGCCGCGAGTCAGACAGCAACGCGAGCTCCGACAAAGAAGGGAGCGTAACCCAAAAGCTAAGTTGTCGACCGACGTTCAATTCCCACAGGTTAATTCAGTGTGACACTTTGGCCAGAAAAAAATTGTCCAAGCCAAAAGGAGACTGGGACTCTAAACTGAAACTTAAAGAAGAGAAAGAGCCCCCAAAAGCTTCGCTAATGTTAGAGAACGCAAATAATCCCACATCTACCACCAGCCGTGACCTTCACAAAAACGAGAATGACAAGGAAGATTCAACTCAAACGTCCAAACGAACGCTGGCTGATCACGTAAAACTGCGTCTTAAAACCTCGGCGGATGATATGTTTGGAGTGGGGCTGAGGAAGCAGAGCTCACCAGAGACGCGCAGGAAGAAGAACATTCGAAGGAGACACACTGTGGTCGTGCAGAACGATTTGCCCGAATTAAACTTCAGAGAATGGAAGGAGAAGCAGCCAGAAAGCAAGAACAGTGGAGGCAAGACACCTGCTGTCGACCAGTTTAGGCATCGGGTTGAATCTTCGATCAGTGGTAGAATTGCACAGCCAGTCACAGGCACCGAAACATGTACAACAGACCTGTCCCATGTTTCACAACCACACACTGGGGGGCCTCACCAGAGCGGCAAAGCAATGGCTGGCAGTGTGAGTGCAAGTATCACTAACAGCTCGGGACGGAGGTCAGCTTCCTCCTCCTCCTCCTCCTCCTCCTCGGGTCTCTCTGCGGCACCACCTTCAGGCCCAGGCAAAGACCGAGACCCTGACTCCAATTCAACCAAATCTCCAACGGACACAAAGGCACCTAAACACACAGCCTCCTCCCGATTCCATCAGTACCTATGATGGAATCTGCAGGTAACTGGCTAAAGTACTCAGGAGCTAAGTCAGTCTGTGGCTTTGTTTCTCTATCCTCTCCCCTCCCCTCCCCTACGCCCCGGTTCCAACTCGCTATGGGTTACCGAATCCGAGTTCTTTTAAAAGGGAAAAAAAATAGTTTTATATTGTTCGTCAGAAATTAACAATATAATGCGATCTACCAGAACTCTTTAAGAAGGGGATTAAGTACGTCTATTTCCCATTCGTCTGGGGCTGTTTGCTATTTGTACAGGAAAAAAATCTGCACTGAATTTCTCAATGTTTTAAAGAGATTTCACTCATTTTTCCATGAAGGGGAACACAGTGTAAAGAAGAGAAAAAGAATGCAACTACTTTTTCCTTTGGTACGAATAGCACCATCTTCCTGACAGCTGCCAATAATGGGCGACAAACTCTTGAGAGTGTGGGCGGGAGGGGGGGCCCTCTCCGCACCCCAAAAATGACCGATAAAGTACTTTGTCTTTAGTAAACCTCCACTTGCTTTCACTGGAGGAACACAGCGCTTGAGTTTATATTGTGTAATAATCAAAATGACCAGGCAATGGCTAAAGTGCTGAGGCTGATGTCACTGGGAGTCCTGAAATCGCTGAAGCTATTGGTATAAAAAGTCCTTTGGGGTTTTTAAAAATAAGTAAATCCTTCGAATAGTCATCAATTTACACAGAAATCTGACACAGTACAGCTGGGAGGTCACTGCTGCGGATCAGCTGCTGTGTTGGTCTGTACAACAACATTCACTTCACTTCCAATCAACTTTTCTTTTGTAAAGTGCTTTGAGACGTATATTTTTTATGGGAAAAGGGGACGCTGTATAATAAGTGCAACTTGATATTATATTACCCAGCAGCAAAAAAAGAATAGCTGGAGGGTTTATTAGCAAATACTGGATTAAAAATATAACACAAACATACTGTTTGCACCTGTAGTTGTGTTTGCCAGCAACGTCAGGGTCTGGGATAAGCTGATTGGTATAAATAGCCACGTTTAGGCCTTCTAATGGGAAATCCTGATCGGAATATAATGGAACATTTGGATTTGGTACCCATCACTACCAGCCGTTCTGTGGCAAAGACGTCTGCAAATCTTCAGTCATCTATTGTTTCATTGAATTATCCTCTTTTTGTTTGTTTCACCTACATCTACAGCAATTAATCATTCCCCGAGGCTTGTGTGAGCACTCTCCCTCGCAGTCAGAGAAATGGCATTTTAATACAAGCAGAATATTACATTTTTAAAAAAAATTCCGAATGCTTTCATTTTTCTACTCTTCCCCACTCCGAGTCTCAGAGCTGAGGGGCGTCGGAGCTCAACATAATTGCTCTCTGACTAGGTACAGGGAGCCATGCTTTAGTAAATGATTTGGCAAGCAATTAACAGCGTTTAGCCCACAAAATGCACAGTCACTAACTTTACAGTGTATTCTGTGAAGCACTTCGAGATGTCTCGAAGACGTGATGAGGCACTATATCAAATGCAAGGATTATTATTGTTCATGTTGAGATTAGTGGCTGAGTGGCTGGCCTGATTGCTTTCTATTCATATCTTAATGGCTAATGACTGATAGGGAATGATGCCAGTCGGTGTCAGAGAACCCATATGTTTTTTTGGTCAGCCGGGTATTGCCATGTTCAAGAGAATCCGAACCAGAGTTTTACATACGTATGCCACCACCTACATCCGGAAATGCTCTATTTGTCCTGTTTATACCCTGTTTACCTAATTCCAGAAAGCATTAGGTTCACATCGGTGCGAGCCAAAGCTTGGGGGACCCCGGAGCGTGTGTTGAGGTACTGGCTGGAGTTTAGCCGGCTCAAACAACAGCAACAAGTCGCATTTATATGACATCCCAAGGCCCCGGACAGTTGAGCGTTTGCGTAGTTTGCCATTGTGACCAGTTGGTCGCGTTTCTTGCTGCTTGTTCACCTCGGACCGATCTACCTGTTCTCACAGGCTTGCCAAGAGCTGAGATCGGCCTCTCCCGAGACCTGTGACGAGCCAGGCTGGCTGGTCTGTCATCTCCAGTGCCCAGGCAAGTCACCTTGGAGCCAGTTCCACCCTGATAAGAGGCTGCTCAGCACTGACCTCGTTGCCTTCTCTGTCCCCCCTATACCACCCCATCCCCCCTCCCACCCCCCCCCCCCCCCACACACACACACACACGAGAAGGAAGGTCACTCGTTGCTAATTGGACATCAACCAGCTCGCAGGGATATGGCGATGTCTGGGATTGAGACTTAGCTCCAGGCAATTGGAATTTTCCTGTAGAGAAGGGAAAGGATTAGAATGAATACTTCTGACTCCCGGGAACGTGCCCTTAAAACACTGCTTTACATGGCAACTTTTCAACTGGTACAAAGCTGCGAGGAGGATGAGTGGACTGACTCTGGGCCAGTTCGCTTTAGGCATACGCTGCAGATCAGCGTCTACTGAAACACCCTACTTTCTTTTTCCAAGTTTTGTGTTTGTCCTGGGAATTACAAAGGAGACCACGGTAACAATTCAATTTAATAAACTCTAAAAGCAGAAATGGACAGATGTAAAATTTAAGAAATGTATATACAGTTTATATAAACTAATGATAATTATACTAATCATTGAATTATTTATATTTCTACTTATTTATTAATTTAAAGGTTAGATTTACAATCTAACGGGTTAACCTTTTGTAAGTCTTTATTTAAAGAAAAATGAGCACTGTCTGCCTTTAGATAGGCGGCGTCTCCACGAGGAAATGCAGTTCTTTGTCGAGCTATTTCTTGTTAGAGAGGAATAGTCAGCAACAATGTCTGTCATTGTGCGCAGCTCAGGTGATGATCCATTGTGTTACAGTTTAGGTCAGTGTATCGTGGTTTTAAGCAAATGTAGATAAGATTTGACAAACGTCCTTTAACGTGGAATTCTATTGTCCTGGCACCGTTCAGAACTTGCAGCGAGGTGATCCGTGAATTGGAAATCCAATTTAAGATTAATTACAAAGAACGGATCCATGATCGGGTCTAAATGTTCCAGTGTCTGGTCGCTGAGCTCCACTCCCTTCTGATACTCTATCTGCAGCCTGCCCTGTGGCAAACAGCCAGCGAAGCTACTGACCTACTTAACCTGTGATCAATAGATCCTTGTGCTCATTAGGAAGCTGGAGAGAAGAGATTTTTTTTTAAAAAAATTGTGGAAATATAATTTTCTTAGATTCCCCTCTATTTATATTCTCTCTCTCCCTCTCCCTACCTGGTCAGTACCTTCATTAATCATCAGCTGGCGAATCTGAGAACACTGCTCACAGCCTGACACAACAAGATTAGTTTACCCGGACTTCTGGGACCCAAGCCTAGCCTCGAGGACTAGTACCCAATTTACCTGTCACGTGAACTCTGTACAACAGCACCACTGTGTTACAATCCCTCGGAGCTTCCATTAAGACTCAACAAATTCAAGCCTCGGATTTCATTCGATTTGAAAGGAGATCTATTGTGTAGCTCGTTAATGTAGAGCAAATGGCAGAACGTTCAACACCTTTCTATCTGACAGTCTGCCCGTGATTTCATCTCATTTCGAAAAGGTTTATAATCTGGGTTTGGCTGCAGCTTCATCTTGCCGCCCACACGCAGCCCACTCCTGTGGCACATTGACAGATGGGCTCGGCTCACTACTGTGTCCCATCACCTCAAACCATCTGGAGGGAGGGAAACACGACTCTTGTCCTACAGAAAGCATCCCACCCCCCCCCCCCCCCCATAAAATAATGAGCTTGCACATGTTAATACTTATGCAATCCACATTTAATCTCCAGGATGAATTCATTTGTTCCTGTGAAGCTGGGATGCATTGGATTTTTTTTTGCTATAAGGGAGAATATTCGGCAAAACCATCATGATTGATTTTACAGAAGGCAACTAAATAAGAGGCCTCATTCCGCACACGTGCTATTCTCTCTCGCAATGATGGCTTCCCAGAGGCTTGCGTGCTTATGCCGTTTACTCTTTCATCATGTAATTGTGCAATTAATTAATTATCTGCATTAAGAGTTCTAGTGTAGGATTTTTCAAGCTGTTTCCTGCAGTAGAGGCATCCAGAATTAGTTTGTATCTGCAATAATAATAATCTCAAATATCTCCTGCGTCTATGCCTGTCGCCCATAGGAGCAACCGGAAGCTGTTGTTTGTTAAAATTTGGTTCAAAAATGTAACTGTGATCCCTCTCCCATCCTCCCTCCCCACATGAAATGTTCAGGGAGGACAAGATTGCAGGGCTATGGGCAGAGAACGGGGCAGTGGGATTGATTTGGATAGCTCTTTTCAAAGAGCTGGCGGCGCAGACAGAATGGGCCAAAATAGCCTCGTTCTGTGCTGTCCAATTCTCCGATTCTATGATTGCTTCGGATCGTTGCATGCATTTCCATCTGATTATTAACACGTCTGTGTCCCTTCTGTTTTAAACTTCGATTCCGATGATCCAGCTTGGGTTTCAGAGAGAGAGAGAGAGAGAGAGCGGCGCTTTCTGCCCTTACTGTGTAACAAGTTTCACCGACTGTCCCTGAACACGCCGAGGCTGGGTTGTAGTTTGTGGGGAAGAAAAACAACAGTCAAATTGCCATTAGCTCCTGAACACTTTTAGCCCTACGCAGTTGTGTCTGTATAGTTTTGTATTAGAGATTGCTCATTTAACCCTAATATGTGTGTCTGTATATATATATATATAATATATTATGTTTGCATTGTTTACATTAGTGCTTCTGTGCACATTTTTGTCTCCACTGTTACTTGAATTTTTAATTCTCAATACTTTTCCTCCACAGCTTCACATTACACACCTGTCCCTTAAGTCTTTCTGAGAGACGGGGTTTAACATTTAGCCACAGATGTGAACTTTAGTGCCACGTTACTACATTATGTTCAGTTAAATTGCCAACAAGCACTGGGTGCAGACTAGCACTGAGACCTGAACAGCTTGACAGCAAAAAAAAAACTCCTGAATCTTCTCGAGCTCAAGGCTTTCAGTAAAATAACCAAAAGACATGAAACCGCAGGATAGGGAAGTAAGACCCAAAAAGCCATTCTGAAGTTGAATTTATGGACAAATAAGCAACTAGCAATAATCCATAATAATAATCCTTGCATTTGATTTCAAGTCAGGAGGACGCCTCGAAGTGCTTCACAGGATAATAGTGTAAAGTGACTAGTGACTGTGTGTTTTGCGGACTGTTGAAGTCTCAGAAACCTGAATCAAAGCTCACAGGAGTTTTCCCCAGTTGCCAGTCACTGAGGTGATTAGGATCAGTCAACGAGTGTGAAAACAAATCTCTTTAATGCAGCGCAAGCGATTGAGTAAAATAAAAGCCATTCTCAAGTTGGGTACCTCAGAAATTCTGTTCGTCAAATAATGACGTGTAGAAAAATATTTGGACATGACATATTGTTCCATTTAGGCAACTGGTTGTCATTTAGATCAGGTATTTACTGAAAGAACGTGGGAGCAGTACTACAAATAATGTTTTCATTGTAATATGGCCTCAGACTCCCTACTGTAATATTTCACGACAAAGAATCTTAATTATAATTTCCACAGATTAACAAATTGATCACTAATGGGATCCGAGGGGTTGGGGACAGGATAATGTTTTTATCAGCTGCTTTCCTTTGTACGTCCAACGGATTGAACCAAACTCTAAGCCGCAGTGACTTAAAATAGTGTTTGCACAAGTGCTTTGAGTGAAACTTACTTAAGACATTCACTGGATGTACTTCAGCCAAATTAGTCTCCTGAAGGTGACAGGCTGCCCTCTGTGCCGGTCTGCGTCAGGCCTGCTGGTCACCAAATACAGCAGACAGCAGGAAACTGCTGGGATATGGCAAAAGGGCAGATACATGGGACTGAAAGGATTGCTTTTAAAGGAATCAGCCCAAGACCTGATGAGCCAAATGGCCGCTTTCTGTGCTGCAAATTTCTGTGGTTTCTGCCGTAAAGTGGTGATGGTATTCAAGCGGAATTAGTACCGCAGTTGGCAAGGCTGGCTGATTTAAAGTGCTTTGTGTGTAAGCTGCGCTGCCCGAGAATCATTGAAATTTTACAACAGCGAATTACATTTGTACGGCTCCTTACACTACAGAAGGTTCTGCTCATTGAGTCTGCACGACTCTCACCGCAAGGTGTTCATTCAATCCCTCTGCCCGTCCTAACCCACACTAACCCCGTACCTCCAGCGGACAATCCCTGACTTCTTGAAACTGAGAGAACAATAAGTGTTTTGAGAACAACCAGAACTTTTAATCAGTCTGGGTCAGATTGCAGACCATTCAGGGTAGAAACCTGGCACTAAATGATCACAGCAATCTCTCTAACCAACAGTGCCAGACACCAGCCAGATTCGCTGTACTTTAATATTAACCATTTGTTTGTGAGG